GTCCATCAACAGATAATGAATAAAAAAAAGTGGTATGTCCATACAATGGAATGTTATTCAGCCACAAAAAGGAATCGAAGTACTGATACATGCTACCACCTGGATGCACCTCAAAAACATCAGGCTGAGTCAAACAAGCTAGAGGCCAAAAGTCACATAGACCCTGTCTATGTGAAATGTCCAGAACCGGGAAATCCACAGAGATAGAATGCATATTGGCAGTGGCCAGGGGCTGGTAGGAAGGGGAATGAGGAGTGACTACGTATGGGGGTTTCCTTTTGGGGTGACGAAAACGTTCTAGAACTATACAGGTGGTGGTTGCACAACATTGTGAATGTGCTAAATGCCACTGAGCTATTCACCTTAAAATGGTCAGTTATGGTGGGAGGGATGGGGTGGCTGGGTGATAGACATTAGGGAGGGTATGGGCTATGGTGAGGGCTGTGAACTGTGCAAGACTGTTGAATCAGAGATCTGTACGTCTGAAACAAATAATGCAACATATGTTAAGAAAAAAGAAAAAGAAGAAGATAGCAGGAGGGGAAGAATGAAGGGGAGTAAGTCGGAGGAGGAGACGAACCATGAGAGACGATGGACTCTGACAAACAAACTGAGGGTTCTAGAGGGGAGGGGGGTGGGGGGATGGGTTAGCCTGGTGATGGGTATTAAAGAGGGCACGTTCTGCACGGAGCACTGGGTGTTACGCACAAACAGTGAATCATGGAACACTGCATCAAGAACTAATGATGTAATGTATGGTGATCAACATAACAATAAAAAAATTAAAAAAAAAAGGTCAGTTATTTATTATGTGACTTTCACCTCAATTTAAAAAAATTTTTTTTTTTTTTAAGGCAGAGCTTAAAAACAGGAAAACCAAGGGGCTGGAAAGCAGCGAGTAGGCTGCAAGGGGGCCGGAGAGAGTCCGAGGCCTCTCACAGCCCCTCCTGTTACTGCTCGGTTAGCGGCTGTCCCGGAGCTCTTGCTCGTTGACTTAGAGAAGGCTCAGCTCAACTTCAAAGGCCGGGGCATGCCAGCTCAGGACAGAGTCTGGCAGCTGTCCCAGGAAGAAGCTCCCAGCTCTGGGGGAGAGCAAGTCTAAGGCAAGGTCCAAGAGCAGAGTAGCCGGAAGAGCTGTTGTGGCCAGGAGGTCTCAAAGGCAGACCTCCCGAGCAAGGGTCTACCCAAGGCCGGTGATTAGGGAGGGAGGGGGCATAGTAAGATTTTGCTGGGGAAAATTCACTTGTGCAGCCAGATGACAGGAAGACCAGCAGGAAGCCTGAGGAAGCACAGGTGAGGACAACTGTGGGCTGAATCAGAACCCTGGGAGGTGGGGAAGGCCAGGCCGTGGAGGGCGGAGGAGCTGGGAAGCTGGGAGTGGGGGCCGGGGGGAGGTGTCAATCTCTGTGTGTCACGGCAGAGGGCCCAGACTGAGGGGCAGAAAGCCAGACCAGGCTTGCTTTGGGCTGCAGACAGAAGACGAGGGACAGAGGAGGAGTGGACAGAAAGGTAGGGGGGGAGACTGGGGAGGGTGAGGCAGCTGAGGTGGAGGTCGAAGGTGGAGGGGTGGAGTTGGGGGACACCCAGCACAGCCCAGCAGTCCCCTGGTGACTGCAGCAAGCTGGGCCTCCTGAGATTAGGGAGAGGCCGGAAGGCCCGGGAGGATGTGGGTCCAGAGAAGGAAAGTGGACAGGAGGGTGCACACGGACACACATGTGAACATGAAAACACCAGATGCAGATGCATGCACCGGCACATGCGGACATACAGAAACTGCCCCGCCACAGACAAGGGCAGACGTACAGACTCCAGCACCACCCACGTCCACATGCGCCCAAACAGGCACAGATGCCTCTGGCCATGCATACACAGGACTCATGCAGAAATGGAGCCAGGCACAAGCTGATGTTCGGACGAAATCGGATGCACGTGTAGCCGCAGAGGCATGAGGACACACTGGGACACATGGACACGGACACCCGTGAAGCATCCACAGCCACATCAGCATCATGACCAACGCCCCCCCGCCCCCAAGAAGGAAGCTCCGGGCACCCCCATCTGAGGCACCTTTGGCTCCAGAACCCCAGCAGCAGGGCCCGCCTGGGAAAGTGAGACAAACCACGGCCATTGCCCAACACAACCACTGGGCCCAGCCCAGGGTCAGGAAGGAGCCGGGGCCAGGCCTCGCGTGCCTGCCCACACACTCACCGCCACCGGCGGCAGACACCAGCCACCGACGCAGACAGCTGGGATTGCGAGGGATCTTGCAAAATCATCCCCATCTCTCAGGGTTCAGCTAAAGTGTCTCTTCCCCCGGGGGACCTCCCCAGGCTATGGCCCCAGTTAACCTTTCTGCATTCCGGTTTTGCCATGCCCAGCTGTGACCTTGGGCAAGTCCCTCCACCTTTCTGTGCTTAAGTTTCCCCTCGTGTAAAGGAGGGGGGATAACGAGAACGTGCGAGAATGTGTGTTGAATACGTGAATGACTGGAGCACATCCCTTCCCACCTCTTGTACAGATGGGGGAATCAGCTTCCCTGGACTCAGTCAGCTAGCTGCAGATGGGGCTGCCCTCCTGCCTCCTGCCTCCTGCCTGGTCCCTTCCCACCATGGGGGATCTTGAAGCCAGGTGGGACATCCAAGAGGGTATGGGTTTATTCTCCCTTCTACACAGGACCAAGAAGCCAGCTTTGGAGCGACTTGGCAACAAGCATGGGACCATACAGCCTGCCTGGCAGGGGTGGGAATGAGGACTTTAAAACCCTGAATTTCTGCTCAAATAACTTCAAGGAGGACTTACAAGATCATTCCCTCTGTATGGACAGGTAAAATCTGAGAGGGTGGACATGAGCCGCTGAGTGTCCCTGCCTGAGCTTTCCTCATCTCCCGTCCCCAACCACCCAAGAGCCCCCCACTCCACCCCGCAGGTTCACACCCTCCCAGCAGATAGGAGGGCTGAGAACACCTTTCTACTATCCAAGGGACTGTGGGCAGGGCCTTCCCCAGGCAAAGGCTTCCATCTTTATGAGGATGGGCACTCGGGCTCTGCAGTCTGGGGCCTTGACCCTTGCACTCAGGAATGGCTGTGCTGATGTGGACAGGTGGCCAGGGATGCCCAGGGTTGGAAGGGTAAGGACGTGGACCATGTGCCAGTGAACAACCCCAACTTTAGTTATGAATGACCCAAGCTGAGCCCAACTCCGGGGCTGACCAGACTGATTTCTTTGGTTCTAGAACTCTCCAGGGGCTCAGGTGGGACAAAGAGGTGATTCTGTGAGCCTCCACCTCAGCCTGGGACAGCTTAAAGCCTGTCTATCTGATGGCACCCAGAGTATTAGACACGTGTGAGATCCAGGGTCATGTCCCACTTTCAGCTGAGTGTGCCCCAGTCACCTCCCAAGCCCTGTGCCCTGACCCCAGGTGGGTTCTGGGGTCCCTGGCAATCCCAGAGCAGATCTCCCCATTTGTAACCTGTTGACAGCCAAGCTGACCCTATGGCCCCCAAACACCCTAATGCCCTGGGAGCTAAAACCCCTCCACATAGACTCACACACATGCGGCGAAGAGACACACATGGGCTCTAGGCCTGGGTCCAAGTCAGACTGGCCCGCTGGGGCCCTCTTACCCAGGCCAGTCCTGTGGGCAGTACCAAGAACCGATGCCAGATTAGGACCTGGTTTGAGGGACTAGGCGAAGCCTGATGCACCCGGAAGGCCAGGATAACAGAAACACCCAAATAAGGCAGTGACTCACAAGCAGACAGATGGACAGACCCCTCCAGAGCTGAATATGGGGCCCAGGAGCTCTCTACCTGCAGGTGGGGAGCCCCAAGGATTCTGGTTCTAAAGCCCCCACTTAGCCCAGGACAACTTTTGAGCCAGGGCCCAAGGTGTGCCCACCAGAGAGAAGCCAGAACTCCTTCTTCCCCCAAAAGTCAAACTACAAAGCAATGACCCCTTCCCAGCACCAAGAAGTAGAGGGGTCCTGAAGGAGCTGCCTCCTAGACCTTGATACACATGAGGAAACAGAGGCTGAAGGGAAGGGGTTGGCCTAGGGTCCCCGACCGCTCACTCACCGGGCTGGGCTGTGCGCTCTGTTCCTGTGATCTGCAGACCCTGAGTTCCCAGGGGTAGGACGGGCACACTGCCAGAGGCCTGGCCCCTGTTCTGGCTTTTCTGGGGAGCCACTATGACCTCTGAATACGCCGAAGTCACACCCTTCTTCCCTTCCTAAGTGCGGGCGGGTCTGGGCTGAGGGTACCTGATAACCTCCCTGGGACATCTGTAGGGTCCCATCTGGCTCACAGTGGAATCCCAGTCTCACGGAGCAAGGAGGCAGCCCCTCTGTGACAGGAAACCCGTCACTGGCCCAGAACAGTAGCCTTTGAAGGCAGAGTGGGTTTCAGGTGGCTTCCAGGCCCCTGCCCTGTCCTAGCCAGAGGAAGCCCAGTGCCTGAACTCCCAGGTCCCCACTCTGGCTGGCCCCCTCCCACTACTACTCCAGGAGAGCCCTGGTGACAAGAACTAACTGATCTCTTGGGCAAAAGGGACTCCTGTGAGGGACCTCCTGGACTCAGGCATGGTCCAAAAGCAAGCAGGCAGCAGCCTGGAAGAAAGGTGCTTTTGGGCCTTCCTTGAGGGGTTTTGCAATAGGCCAGTCACACCCAAGATGGCAGGGAAGGCTGGGGGACCTCCAGGCAGGAGGGTCTCTGAGTCTCTAACCATGTTCAGAACTTTCTGGGCTCTTCCAGAAATAGCAAGGAAGGAAGAGGCTGGGCTTCAGAGGCAGGTAGCCCTGGATGGGAATCAGGTGACCTTGGCTAAGTCACTTCCCTTCTCAAAGGTTCAGTTCTCCCGGAGGTAAGAACTGAGTTAGGTGAGCCCAGCCAGAGCCAGCTACATAGGGACAGACCAGGACTTCAGGCAGAGGGGCTGGGAGGAGCCGAAGAGCAGCCATGCCCAAGCTCAGACAACCCCCATGGACCACAGCCCAACCCTTCATAACTACAAGCCCTTTATTAACAAGTCAATAAAAAAGGGAGAAAGATGTAAAAATACTTTTCTTGGAGGCCCCCCAGTGGGGCAGGCACTGTCAGAATCACCTGGCCAGGGAAGGCAACCCAGCCAGAGGCAGAACGGAAATTAGGGCCCTGTCCAGGGAGCAGCTGGCCCGGGGCGCTGAGAGGGGGGGATGGCTCGGACCTCAGGCAGGGAATGTGCAAACGCTGAGGCCGCGCAGGGAGTGATGGGGTGAGGGGTTCCCGGAGGAAGCCCAGAGCACCGTGTTCCCCTGCGTGGGCAGACACGCATGTCCACGTGAGAGCCGGTGCCTGCACGCAGCTTACGTACAGAGAGCAGAAGGAGGGGGTCCCCCGGCAGGAATGGGGGTGGGGAGGGCTCATCCCAGAGCTTGAGGAAATAGCTTAGAGAAATCTCTGGAAGCCTGGGGTGAAGGGAGAGCGTGGAGGCCTCAGGAGCCCTGGCCATCCTGCCGTCGCTGGAGGACCTCAATGACACTCCCGATGCCATCCTCAGGCACCTGTGGGCAGGTGGGCAGAGGGAGGGGTCAGGGCCACGCCGACCTCCTGGCCTAGATGGACTTCATCCTGCACCCTCTCCACCCTCCTGGGCTTTAGTGTCCTTCCAGGAGCCCAACCCATGGCGCTCACCAGGGCATGGTCAAAGTTGAAGGTGCTGATGTAGTAGGCAGAGATGTCGGCCGCAGCCAGGGGGCCTGCGATCTGGGCCACGATCCCACACTCATCTGAGGGTTATGGGGGGGGGAGTCCATGTGGATCATCCTGGCCGCTCCCCCAGGTCCTCCCCAAGTCCCCAGCACACAAGAAGCAGCCCTCACCAAAGCCCAGGGGCTGTCCACCGATGCGCACCATTCTCCACAGCTCTCCTGAGGAGCTGGTCAGCAGGAGGTCACTGGGGAACCTGGAGAGGCAGGTGGGTAGTGGGCACGGCACCCACCCATCCCCTCCTTGCCCCAGTGTGAGCCCCTGGAAGCAGGGGGACCTGGTGACCTCAGAGTCTGACGCTCCACCTCCTCCCTCCCTAGGGCTGGGCTTGGGCTCTGTGGTCCACGGGGCTCAGGAGTCACATACTTTTTCTGCGTCTCAGCGTCCATGACGATGGAGATGTAGCCCTCGATGAGGGAGAAGGCAAAGAATGTAATGGAGCTGGGTCCAGTACCACCAGAGGCTGCTTCCTTGGGGGCACTGGAAAAGGATAGGAGACTCAAGCGCTCTTCGGGGCACCCAGCCCCCTGTGTCTCCTCCCCGATCTGGGCCACTTTCCTCCCCTGTCTGAGGGCCCTGATCTCCTGATGGTGTCAGGGGAGAGGATGATGAATCTCGCCCCCTCCAAAGACACTGGACCCCAGGGTTGGCAGACGGCCAGACCAAAGCAGGGCTCAGGGTGGTCTCAGTTCACACTACAGGAAAGGGCGGAAGCTGTGCCATCGGGATCTTCCCTGAACATCAGTGAGGGGCACATGGGCATTGCAGGCTGCCAGGAACCCAAGACACAGAACAGGGCACAGAGCGGCAGAACTGAGGGACACGCAGAAGGTGGTGGGACACAGCATAGGCAACAACGGTGTGAGGACAAAGAGACAAGGTGCAAATGAGGCCCACCTGTATGAATAGAAGAGGACATCGATGAGTGTGGTAGCGATGGCTGGCAATGTCTCAGGGTCCAGGGTGAGGACACAGAAGCGATTCTGTGGGCTCTGGATGGGATGCACGGTGGGGCTCGGCCCTGCTAGGAGGGACCAGGCAGCAGCTGTCAGGGCGACTGTGGGCTGGGGCGCCCCCTGGTGGCCACACAGGGAGGAGCCTGGGTGGGGTGTAGGGTCAGGCTCTACAGGAACCCACCTCTTTCCTCCACCACATCTCCCTATCTTGTCAGGCAGTCCGTGTCAGCTGGTATCATGCCCACAGACCAACCCTCACAAGGGAAGGGCCCCAGTGGGAAGAGGAGGCCCTGCCTAGACCTGGGTGTCAGAGGGTAGCCTCACCATGCTGAGAACGGGGAAAGCCATTGCTGGAATCATCCCTGGCAACAGGCACAGGCTCCCCGCCCACTTCTCGGTAAATGTCGAACTCCTGGGATAGTGTGTGGATCACCACGGACAGGTCCTGTTCCCGCACCTGGACAACAGGGGGATGACGTATCACATGAGTCCCCAGGCACCCATGCCCACCCTGCCCCGCACTGGAGCCTGCCAAAAACTCACAAGGATGAAGTCCGTCTGGTAAGTGGACAGCATCAGCACAGACACATGGTGCTCCGCCAAGGGCGCAATGACTGAGCGGGCAATTTTGGTGACCCCAGCAGCCTGCACTGCTGCACCGCTGTGGGATGACACGTTCAGCACCAGCCAGGTGGCCTCAGCCACTTGAAGGAACTCAGATGGGGGTAGCTCTGCGAGTAGGAAGTATACACCAGGTCAGGGCCCATGGGGCTGGCCCCTACCCCATGGTTATCTGTGCTGGGGGTGGGGGAATGGGGTTCTACCAAGGTAAGGGTAGGTGTGGAGACTGGGGCTGTCTCCCTCTCCCAAGTTCTGCTCCTGAGAACTGCATGCATGCAAGGACTGAGAAGTGCTTCAGGTGCTGGCCTGCTAGGGATGGAAACTTCCAGATTCAGACAGACCTGGGTTCAAATCCCAGCTTCACCATTTACTTGCTGTTGACCTGGGGTAAATGATTTAACTTCTCTGAATCTGTTTCCTCATCTGTAAAATGGGATGAGAGCATATACCTCACGATAGCGTTTAGCTAAGAGGTTTTTATACCACGTGGCACCACCAGGGGGCGCCAGCAAATAAGGCTAGCTGAGGGATGCTCCTCTCCCTCGGCAGACCTAGACTCCCCTGCAGTACAAACAGGGAAACGAAGGCCTGAAGGGCTGCAGTAAAGGATGGGCCAAGCCTCAGTTTTGTGGCCTGAGGCTCCAGGCCTGTGAGGAGGGGTCAGGCTGGCAGGAGCAGGAGCCAGATGTCAGCTTCAGGGAGGAACCAGGCTGGCGTCCAGTCCAGAGCAGGAGCCAGGGCCCGGGTGGCTGCTAATCTCCCAAGTGCAGCCAGGAGGCCCCCCAGGACCCTGACGTGGGCTGGCTGCCTGCTCCTGCATTCCTTTCCCAACCCTCAGACTCCTGGAGTTCCCAGACCAGCCAGGGAGGGGGTGATCGGCACCAGAGAGATAAGTCCAGGGAGAAATAATGGCCAGGGGTATATAACTGCCACAGGAACCTCTGATTCTTGCCCTGAACTGTAACTGAGGCCCTGCCACTGGCCTGAGGCTGCTAAGTGCCCTTCACAGCCCTGTCTATAAAGTTCTCATGGGACCCTATTAGTAGAGAACCATAACTATACCCATTTTACATAAGAGGAAGTGACTTGCTCAAGGGCACACAGCCAGTCAGTGGAAGAGTCAAATTCGAACCCAGACCCATCTACCTTCAAGGCCCCAGCTCTTGCGATTTTGGAACCCAGGATCTAGTGAGAATCCCACAAAGAGGGGAGCACGACATCCTTCCCCAGCCTAGCCCCCACCTTTGAAGCCCTCCTCGTCCACCATGAGCGTGTAATCCTCGGGGGTCTCCGTCAGGCTGAAGAACTTGCACCTGGATGGGGGTGGGGGGCATCTTCAGCCTGGTTGGGCGGAGGGGGCGGGCAGGACTTCGCTCCAGTTCGCCCAGAAAGACCCCTGCTGGGCGCCTCCCTGCCCCCTCAAGCCTCAATTTTCTCCCCGGGCCAGTGGGGTGTGGGCCTCATCACCGGAATGACGAACTGTTTTTCGCCTCCCGACCTCTGTAGGAGCTCCCGACCCTCCGTTCCGGGAAGGAGGAGAGGCTAACCCGCGACTACAGCCCTGGGCGAGTCGGACTTTGGGCCCCCTAGACCAGCCCCTCTGACCCGATGGGAGGCGTCTGGAAGAAGCTCCTCGCAGTCGCCAGTTGAAGGAATTGCCCCCATTTGACACCACTTGGAGTTAAGCATTGCTGACCCCAGGTTGTTTGCGCCTTAACTGGCCCTGGGAGGGGGCCTCACGGGGCCGGATAGGCGGCGGTCCCAGGGAGGGTAGGCCCAAGCCGGATGGCGGCGGGGCGGGGGGGTAGGGAGGAGAAGCGCCCTCCCCGCCCGCTCCCGCTCGCACCGCGGCGATGTTAACCTCCCGACCCCGTCCCGGAGCAATAGCGGAGCCCACCCCCACCTGTGCCCCCGAACCCGGGCGCGCACCGGCTGCGGCGGGGCAGGAAGAGTAGCTTGATGAGCGGGTGGGTGTAGAGCCAGAGACCTGGGCGAGCGAGGCTCAGCACCCGCACCCGGTGCTCTAGGATGTGCAGCTCCATCACGGTCAGCGCGGAGCCGACCCCGCCGCCTACCAGACCCAGGCCGCCGCCGGGGGCGGGGCGGTGGGGGCGGTACCGGGGGCTTAAAGGAGCCGCTGCGCTGCCGCGTCCATGCCGCCAGCTACGCTGCGGACCCTCCCAGCCCCACGCCGCGTCCAGTTCCCTGACAGCCACGCCCTGAGGGGCGGGAGGCCTAGCCAAAGTGGCCACGCCTCCTTCTTAAGGTCAGCGCCTCATCCCTCCAGTTCCAGCCCGCCGAGCCCCGCCTCTAATGACTCCGCCCCTTTAGCATTGGCTCGGGGATCACAGGCTGATCCGAACCCGCTGGAGTCCTCCAGGCCCCGCCCATGCCGCGCCCCCTCCCTGGGGCTCCGCCTTTTCCGCAGGTCTCCTTCCTCGCTGGGGTCGGAAGCAGGTGTGGAGGAGGGAGGTGTGGAATGGTTTCTGTCCTTCAGTCTTATGACTGATATCCTTGAAGCTCCGAAGGGCCGCGAGACGAACCGGGGCTCAGCTGGGACCAGAGTGCTGACCAGAAAACTCTGGAGTATGGAGGGGTAGGGGTAGGCTGTGCAGCCCCGGTGACTGTGATTCTCTCCCAACAGTGTCCTACCTTTCTCCCTCCTTCCCCTTATGGAGGAAGAAGGCGCCTACCCACGGGGATCACAGAGATAGGGAGGGCCCCAGACACTTATATCTGAATAACATACTGTGGGGTAGGGGATGAAGGTGGCCAGACTTATGGCTTGAGACCCTTCAAGACTAAGTGCTTGGGCCAGGGATGTTCAAGGCCCAGACTTCAGGGGACAGGCCCATGTGTCTGGGGCTCACTGGGTAGTCAGATCTCAGACCTGAGACTTGAGCCCTGTTGAGGCCTCCCAAAGCCTGCAGCCATTAGCAGAACCCAGCTGGCCTGAGCACATGTAAACTTGCTTCATGCCCACGGAGGCCCCCAGCACGGGCAGATGCCCCAGATCTGAGGCTTGTTAGACCAACTTGGGCTCATTTCAACATTAGAACTGGGTTCTGCTCAGGCCGCCTCAGGTTTAAGAAGACTCCAAGGCTAAGCAGGTATCAGCACACCTAGGCTGGCCCGGTAGCAGGATAGACAGAGCATGCTCTGGAGGGGCTTTGGCCTGAGCATCCTCAGGCTTCAGATCTGAGGCTTTGAACCAAACAGGTTAAAGCCAGCCGCAGGCCTGATTGGGACCCAGCAGGCCTACACAAGCCTCCTGCCTGCTCAAGAGCCTCTACTGTAGGCGGATGGAAGCTGGGCAGCACCCTCCCTCCCTTGACTCTCTGGCTCAAGGGATTCCTGTGGAACACTGTAACTGCCACATCCTGGCCTGTCCCCTAGAGAGCCAGGGGGAGGGGACTGTCCTCAAAGCCTCTCATGGCAGGTACAGATGGGGTGGGAAAATACAGGGGTGAGAGGTGGGAGGCAGAAAGTGGGTAGCCTGCCCTGATAGGCTCATATGACACTTGACCTCCCTAGGCCTCAGTATCCCCAGCTGTACCAGGACAAGATGTTCCCGGCCCAGGCTCTGTGATGCCTGAAAACTCCTAGGCAGACTCTTCTCCCTCTCCCACCCCCTTCCACCATGGCCCAGCCCAGCTTGGTAGCCTGCCAGGAACAACCGCTATTGTTTGACTGGAAAAGCTGCTTCCTCAGCAGAAGGGGGGGCCTTTCCCAGGGACACCCTGTCCTCACCCTCACCAGTCATCAGGTTGTGACCGCCTGGGCCCTAAGGGGCATTGCCAGGTCACCAGGCACCCTGGTGAGGAGAGGTAACTAAGGGGTTTTAGGTGCAAATCGACCAGCTTCATCTTTCCCACTCAGCTCCTCTGTTTCCTCATCTGTAAAATGGGGATAATAGAGCCTACCTGATCAGCTGGTGGCACAACCAGCCCAGCGTGGCACATGCTAAGTGCTCAGGAAACCGAGGCAGCCTTCTATTAAAGACCCAAACTTCTTCCCTCATCCCTCTGTGTCCAATGGAGGCCTGGACTTAGCATGTAAGGGGATTCATGGTCCCCGACTCCTGGTGCCAGCACTCAACCCAAAATGAACACTCAGAACCTTACTGGGGTCTGAAGTGGCATCTAGGCAAGGGGCCTTGGTGGAGGAAGACCCTGAAAAGACCTCCTTAAAGAAACCCCCGCCCCTCGCCCCCAGAGATGGGTACGCATCAAGGCCTGGGAAGCAGGCCCTCATCCATGGCAGACTGGTGGACACGGGGCAGAGGGAATGGGGTAAGCAAAAGTGGGGGCCAGGAACAAGGACTGGCCTATGGCAAAGGTACTTCTCAGAGAGGCTCTAGTGCTGGGCTGGGGCCAGGATGGGGTGCTCTGTAGGGTAGAGAGAAGAGATGCTGAGCACCAGGGGTGGCTCCCCTTCCCAGTCCCTAGCCATACACCAACTCTCTACACAAGCCTGTTTATTTCTGTACAAAACCATGTTTCTATTTTACACAAAGAGCACCCCACCTTTTACCCCACCCTCTCTCCTCACAACAGCACCCTAGCCCTGGGAAGCATCCCCCCAGGAGGAGGGGGCTGAGTGAGGCCCCGCCCATTGGCCCTCACTTCTGTCTGACCGAGCTGGGCTGGCCCAAGCTCCACTCTGGAGAAAATAAATAAAAAAGCTCAGGCAGACTCTGTGCTGGGCCAGCCAGACTCTCTGCCACCCAGTGGCCAGGCAGCTGGGCCCTCAGAGCATGGGCAGGCCCTCGAATGTCAGTCTGTGAGCCATGTAGGTGTGTGGAGACCCCACCCCACAGGCCTGAGGTGCCAGGGTTACAAGTAGGTGTCCTCACTCTCCTGGGATGTCAGGCTCTCCTGGGAGTGGTGGTGGACTGAATCCTGGGAGCGGTGATGGGCTGAATCCTGGGGAGCTGAGTCCTGCAGGGCTGGGTCCTGGTGGGCTGGATCCTTCAGGGGCACATCCTGTGGGGGACACGCATCTCCTGCAGCAGCTGCCACCTTGGCTTGACTTGGGATTGGGGGCTTATCCAGCTGCCCGCTTGCCTTTGCCTGCTTCCACTGCTCCTTCTCCTTCTGGCTCTGTCTGGGTGGCTTGGGCTTGCCTTTAGAGCCAGGGAGCAGGGCATCTGGGGGCAGGCGGATGGATGGTGAAGGTTGCAGGGTGGGCCAGGGGCCTGGCTCCGCCTCCATGATGGCCTTGGCACCATGCAGCCTGGGTGGAGAGCAGCACTGCAGCTCACCCCGGGTCTCTTGCCAGCGCCGCAGCTGAATGAGGTGCTCACGCTCAATCTGGCGCTCTGTCACCGGCAACTCTACCACCTGTGTGCATGGTAACAGGAAGATGGGCACCAGGAAGTAACTTCCTCTCTACTTCCCAACCTGGCCCTGCTCTCCCTCACCATCCCCCAGCCCTGGTCACTAAAGGATGACCCTAGGAATAATGGGGGTCTGGTCCCTGTGGTGATCACAAGTCCCAGAGCTGAGTGCCAGGTGAGCCAGGCACTTGGGACCCACTGCCTCAAAGGAGAAAGCTGCCCACAACTCGAGTCCACCTGCCTATGTGTCACCTAAGTACAGTCCCTGAGAGACAAAAATCCACAAAGGAAAGAAAAAAGGGAAAATAAAGCCAAGGCCATGGATGTGGTACCAGGAAAGAAGAGAGGGTGATGAATTGCAGCTCCTCTCATTCCTAAGTGGTTCAGAACAGGGAAGGCCCTGCAAACCTAGGCCTCTCTGTGCCCCTGTCTTCTCATTAAGACAGGAGGATAAGGTCTACCCACACCATCCTGAGCTGCTGAGCACCAGGCCTGGCACCAGTAACCCATCTTCGGGGCAGAGAGTTACCAGGCCCCTTCTGAAGGGCCCCCATGTCTCCCACTCCCACCCAGGGATGATGGGAGGGTGTGGGCCGTACCTCCTGGACCAGGAAGGCCTCCTGCATGATCTTGGGACTGAGGCTCCGCAGTTGCTCGATAGTCTCATACTGGCCCTGACAAGCTTTGAGCTTTTCAGGGGAGCCCAACGCATGTTTCAGCAGCACCAGCCCCACCCGGAAGATGATCTTGACTCCTGCATGAGGGGGTGGTAAAAGGGCCCGTAAGGAGTTTCTCTGAAAATAGAGGCCCCCCCTGTGGGCTGGGTTAGAGGCAGTGCTGTTCCTCCAAGCCCAGCCCAGTACCTTCACAGAAGAACATATCCCAGACGCGAAGCACAGAGCTCCAGGGCAGGGTGCGGGCAAAGGCACACATGAACCACTCTGTCATGTACAGCAGCGGGTCGATCTTCTGCCGGCTGAGGTGCTTGTGGGCCACGGGTGACACCTTCTGCAGCAGGGAGAAGAGGATCTCCCCATCCAGTTGGATCGCCTCCTGGGGGACACAGTGAGGCCGTGGGGCCAGGACTGTAGGCGACACTCTGGCTCCCAGTACCAGGTAGGCATTCGTTCATCCCTCAGGCAGCTACTGCCTGCAGGGAGCCAACCTTGAGTTGGGTGCTGGGATACACTGAAGAGCAAACCACACACAGCTGGTCTACCTTGTGGAGCATGTAGTGAAAAGGGGCAAACAGATGAATCACAGGGGCAAAGAGACGGGGGACAGGGTGGGCGTTGGTGGGGGAGGTGGCTAAGTGCCCAGAATATGGCAGAACCAGGAATGCTGAATTAACATGTGCAGAGGTCCCACCTGTCAGAGTCACAAAAAGCTCCCTGAGGGCTAAAAGCTGAAGGAAAGGAGGGGTTATTATGGGAATGAAGGGAGTAGAGGTTTAAGCCTCAAGGCTGAGGCAGGGAGGAACTTGGTGCACTGGAGGAACTGTGATCCTGCCAAGCAGCCAGATGGCTAGAAGCAGCCATGGAGGCCAGGGTGGAACTGATAACTCTGGAGCCTAGAAGACCTGACCTTGGAGGGCCTTGGGTCTTCAACCTGAAAGCAACAGAAGTCTGGGAAGGTTTTAAGCTGGGGCAACAGTGGCTGTGGGGAGAAAGGCCTGGAGAGGCCACAAAGGGCAGGTCCCAGGCCTGGTCTGGACCCAGCGAGCACTCACCAGTTTCTCACTGTAGTAGCCAGGCAGGTACTTCTCACAGATCTGCACCAGGCACCAGAAGGCTTGCTGTGGGCGAGAGAGACATGAGGCCTTGCT